CTCTCTCTCTCTCTCTGCGCCAGCCTGTTTGCCTGTCTGCGTGCCTGCCTGCATGTCTGTCTGTCTGCCAGTCTGGCTGTCGAATCAGTTTATCAATCAGTTTGTTAGTCCGTGACGCTCTCAGTTTGTTAGCCTGTTGATCTGGCAATCAGCATATCATTGCGTCTCTCAAGTTGCTCTGTCAATCTGCCATGCCAGTGTGCCACTCGTTCAGTCTGTAGGCATGTCAGTCTGCTGTCCACCTGTCAGTCTGTTCATCAGCTTTTCTTTCCGTCTGTCACTCTGCCAAGCCTATCCATCCATCTCCTTGGGATTCGGAAAATGATCCCCCCCGGCAACCACAGAGCCCAATTCACATCACTAACCCATGTAGCCATCAGAATCATCAGCGAGGACAAGGTACAGTCTTCCCCCCTATAATGAACATAGGTCCTATTTGGCAAAGGACGGCAATGACCGAAAATCTAGACCCCATGACAGTATCTCGGGAATGGGGGTGAGCCTACCAAGGGTGACCTGCACCAAAAACAAGAAGTCCCAATCAGGGAAAAGTAGGCATGGTCTTCGTAGCATTACCTTGTCTCATGTTCGCTACCCCGATCCCCAAGCGGGGAGAGGGAGCGGCGGAGCGCTGCCAAACTTTTCCTGGCCACGCCCTACTTCAGCAAAACCCGACCAACCACAGAGCATTCTTTAAGTATTAATTAATAATTATTCATTGATTGATTATTTATTACTCAATCACCGACTATCTACCGATTAGGAGCTTTCCATCAACACAATTTCCACTACAAATCTTTTAACCACGGCAAAGTGACGGCATTAATTTATTTTCCTTCCGCCAGTTACTTGCCTCAACCTCACATCAACGAACTGCACCTCACACGTACCATTCTTGAACCTCCATCGATTATCTAATATTTGTTGACAATAAATTCACATTAATTCTACCTTGTATTAATTCAATTTAATTGATTAACTCTTGAACCGTTGACAATAAATTCACACTAATTTTATTAAGTATTGATTAAGTATTGATTAAGTATTAACTAAGTATTGATTAAGTATTGATTAATTATTGATTAATTATCTATTAAGTATTGTTAAATCCAATCTAGTTACCCTTTAGCAATAGCCCCAAGTCTACTCTTTGAAAGTACGAGTGGGCTGCAGCGAGGCACAGTGCCGTACGAGCCAGTACAGACCATACCAAGTCACTACACAAGCAAGGGGTCCCCATCATGTCGTCCTCCTATGCTGACATGGCGGGGAAGGGAATTACGAACCCAGAGAATCCAACAACCCCCATGAGTCCTGCGAACGTTTCCTGTCCAGAGGGACAGCCCCTGGGACAGCCCCCCATGCAGTTGGGCGCACAATCTCACACACCTGGTATCACACAGAAGTCTTCTGATCCTTCCACTTCTGGTTCAGCCCCGAAGTCCCTGAGCCAAAAGGCAATGGACTTTCTCATCTCAAGCACACAAGTCAAGGCAAAGGTTAACATCATCAAGGAAACAATCCCATCAGAGCAGCACGAAGATCAGACTGTGGAAATCTGGGAGTACCCTAAAGAGGACGAGGTCACGAGGTGCTTATCAAGCACACAGTCCTTTTCAACTTCCCCGAGAAATGCACAGACATGTCCCCAAATGAAAAGCGCTCAGGCCATTAGAGGAAATCCCAGGCACAGAACCAGAAGTCACCTACCATAAGCCCACACGAAATACAATTATGATCGTCTATCCGGACAGAGCATACGCCCGCTACCTGATCTCCTTAACAGCTTGAAATGCAGGAAGGGAGTCGTGACTGTGACCAACTGGAAACCCAGACGTGCCCCACAACCGGATGCGTTGAGACACAGACAAACCATGTTACAGAACCACATCTGGATCCAGTTTGATAACAAAACTGAGGAGGGTCTGCATAGCTTTGTGGAGGGCAGACTGCCTGAGGCTTACCCAAACAATCCAGCCATAGAATGGCTGGCCTCCGGCTCAGAAGTTTTAGCACCGAACCATGATTCGAGAATTGCTTGTTTACAAGTCCCTTCCCAGACACTTGGTTGTTCAAAAAGAACGGCCAAAAACTGACAGTCTTCCTCTCCACTAAAACCAACCCAAGATGTTTTAAGTGTAGGGGGAAATGCAATCAGACTAGTCTTATTCACTCTTTTCATGCACGTGAACAGCAACACACAACTGGCGACATGCGCCCACACAGTACACAAAGATATGTCTTCCAGGTAAGTTCGCTTCCACTGGCTATGGCGACTAAGCGCCCAGACAACTCACTGTTCACACTTTGGATCACCCTGGATGTCCCACACGCAACACTCTGTAACCACACGCAACACATACACACACACACTACTATAGCTATGGCAGCGCTAGCTGCCACTACCCTATCGCTACACTACACTTCTCTGCCCACTTCGTCTTCGGGCACACTGCAGACCTCCTCGCACAAGCTGCTGAGGCAGYGCTTCCGCATGGCATCCGCAGGAATGCACGAATGGCTGGACACAGCCTCTTGATTTWTRCTTCTGCGCTGCGTTGGTCTGCCCWGTGTCCCTTGGCCCTTGGTGCACACAGTCCCAGACGGTACTTGCTGGACAGGACCGGACTGCCTAACTGGGACTGATGACTCAGCAGGGTGGCCTACCCCCACTTGACCACTTGCCTCTGTTCAACGTAGGCTCACTCCGAAAGRCCGCTTCTAGAAACCTCTGACTCGGCCTTTCGGTGCTGTAGCAGCTACGACTTTGCCCCTTCAGGTAAGTAGCAGCTACGACCTTGACCTTTCAGACAACCTACAACTACGACTTCGGAACTGTCTAGACTTCTACCCTACAAGTCCACAGTTCGATTCCCTTCTAAGCTGTGACCTACGACAATCCACCTACCACTAGCGTTTCGACAGGTCGCAGGTTCAAATCTACGGGTTGACATCAATACTGTACACAGGTAAGATGGGGAACTAGGGATCGAGCCCTGCGATCTGCATTCGCTACTGCGAACTGGTGAATACCGTTTCACTCCCGCCGGCCTAAATTCAGGGTCCTCCAAGAAAATTCAGTCCAAGGCAGGATCTTTACCTTTCTGTTTTCTCTCGTAGGCTCGGACTATATCGGGAGCTGTCTCTAGAAGTTCAGATCTTGTAAACCAGCGGTCGTCTTCAGGTTCTTGATAACTAAAATGAACCTTGTACTGTTTCTGTGGACGACCCCTACCTCCAGTCCTGAAGACATCTTCAGCCACTATCCCATCAATGTCGTATCTTCCATCCATATCCGGTGGGATCATGGACCTACGGGATGGAAACTGATCACTTGTTTGATACGGTAACAACTTTGATGCATGGAAAACTGGATACGTGTGGAGATGTGCTGGAAGTTCTATGGTATAGGACGGTCCATCTTCGCCGCCCTTGACTTCTAAGACTGGCCACGGTCCTCTATAGGTGGGCAGTAAYTTCTGCGAGATGTTCTCCTCAGGTGCAAACTCTTTAGAACTGACCCAGACTAAGTCGCCTACTTGGAACTGTGAGGGGCGACGATGCTTATTGGCTTGTTCTATCATCCTGTGCTGGGCCTTTCTGAGGTTCTCTACTACAGTAGCTAGTTCTTTCTCGTGTTGCACAGCAAACTCCCTCATCCCGGGCGGCAATCTGTGAATCTGATCCCGGCTAAGTCCTTCAAACGGTCTACGGGGCCTAAAGGACTTGTGCAGTTCGTTGGGAGTGCGGCAGGTGGACAGATGCACGCTGTTATTATATGCACTAGCTACCTTAGGTAACATCTCATCCCAGTTAATCTGATCTGGCCTAATGTACATGCGCTGAACTTGCTGTAGGATCTTGTTCAGTTGCTCTATCTGACCGTTAGTCTCTGGATGACGGCCAGACGACATCAACAACTCGGATCCATACACTCCCATGAGTTCTTGCCAGTTCTGGCTGGTAAAGCGACTATCTCTATCGCTAACTATTGACAGCGGGATTCCATTCTCACTAACCCAACAGTCAAAGAACCTCTGAATGACTAAATCAGTACGTGCCTCTGACGGCAAAGGAATAAAGACTGCGTACTTACTAAATCGGTCAACTATGACCATGACTTGGCTCTTGCCATGCCTGCTCTTGACCTGAGTGTCCATGAAGTCGATGGACACTGAGTCTCCCGGTTGGTCCGGAATGGGTAAGGGTCTGAGAAGACCTAACGGGGCACGCGTAGAACTCTTGTTACGCTGGCAGACCTTACAACTGCGAACATACTCTATGCAGTCATTCTTCATCCCTGGCCAGGTATACGCGCGCATCTGATTGGCTAAGGTCTTTTGCCAACCAAAATGACCCTCTGTGTCATGGCATTCGCCCAAAATCAGACTACGAATCTCTTCGCTATTGGGAATGCACAGACGGTCAAATACATTAGTCTTCTCAAAGAACAGCCCTTCAGTACTGCGGTAGTTCGGCTCAGTCTCTGGGGCCTCCTTGACCTTCTTAAGGAGCTCACTATAGATAGGGTCCTGCGCATAGGCCTCTCTAACCTTTTGTTGCAGATCCTTCCCTATATCAAGATAGTGTACTATTGCCCCAAAGTAATCTGCCCTCCTACTCAGAGCATCCGCGATTACGTTGTACTTCCCTTTGACAGGCTTGAGCTCGAAGTCGTACTGATCTATCTCTGTGGCCCACCTAGTAAGCTTAGGTGTTATCTTGGCCTGCGTCTTTAACCATCGTAACGTTTCGTGGTCAGAATAGACTTTGAAATGCCTCCCAAGCAAGTAGTGCTTCCAGTGGTCTAAGGCTTGCCTGAGAGCGTAGAGTTCCCTCTCATAGGTCGATGTCGCGACCTTCTCTGAAGGCATCCTGGCGGACATGAACTCTACGGGTCTATACCCATTGCCATCGTCTAGCTGCAACACTGCGCCTATGCAGTATTGACTTGCATCAGTTGTGATGACAAAGGGAAAGGACGGGTCGGCAACTTTAAGGATTGGATACTCTATCAATGCTTGCTTTAACTTCTTCATGGCAGGCGTGCAGTCCTTATCCCACTTCCAGATGGTCTTCTTTCTCAGCAATCTGCGAAGGGGCGCAGCGATGGTGGAGAAGTTCCTCACGAACTTCCTATAGTAATTAGCTAGGCCCAGGAACGAGCGCAACTCTGTCAGCGTACGTGGTGTGGGCCAATCTCTAATCGCTGCGATCTTGCTATCCTCTGGCTTAATGCCGTCTCCGTCAAAGACGTGGCCTAGGTACAGAACTTGGGTCTTTGCCCAATCGCACTTCTTTGCATTGATCTTGAAGTTAGCTTCCCTCAGCTTCTCCAAGACCTGCCTGAGATGACCCTGATGTTCTTCGAGGGCCCTGCTAAACACTAGAATGTCATCTAGATAAACTACAACAAATTTGTCTAACCACAGCCTAAACAAATCGTTCATACAGCGCCGGAACGTAGCTGGCGCATTGGTTAGTCCAAAGGGCACGACTATGAACTCGTAGTGCCCATATCTAGTCTGGAAGGCTGTCTTGTACTGATCATCAGGATGCACCTCTATCTGATGATATCCGGACTTCAAATCTATTTTGGAGAAATACTTCGCCCCCTGCACTCAATCAAAGAGATCGTCTATCCTAGGCAGTGGCTCAGCATTCTTCACTGTAATGGCATTCAGACCCCTATAGTCTATACACATCCTCAACTCTCCCTCTTTCTTAGGGACAAAGAGAACAGGGGCTCCAAAAGGAGACGAACAGGGCCTAATCCAACCCTTTTCAAGGAGCTCGTCCAACTGCTTCCGCAACTCCTCTAACTCCCGCGGGGACATCCGGTATACAGCACCCTTAGGAGTTCTACTGCCACGCTCTATCTCAATACGGTGTTGGATGCCTGTCGGCGGCTCAGTCAAATCCTTACACTCTTCCAGCAATTTAGCAATAGCAGGGTCTACGGGCTTCTCTTCCTTAGGCTCAGTGACTGGCCTAACATAAGCAACAAAGACCTGTTCCTCTAAGTGCTCCTTCTTCACTAATCTGGCGAACGCAAGGGCACTGAGGCAGCAGTGTGCCAATGAATTCTCTACTCCTGACACATGGAACAGGCGGGCAATCTTAGCCTCGCCTGCAGCACTAGGGAGCCTACACTCGTGCTCCTTCAAATGGAGCGTGGCCCCAACTGCCTCTCCCCAATCCATTCCCAGCACAATATCAAACGGGAGGCTGTCCTCTACGAGGAGAGTCAGGGAGTGGAGGACCTTCTCCACCTTCCCATCTTTCTCTAGGCGGAAATACGCCTGGACTCCCTCTACGTAATCCTCTACAACCATGGTACGATTGTCCGCGAGGATACTAACTATGGGGTATGTCGGTTTCTAGACTTTAAGTCCCAGCCTCAACTTCTGCAGCGCTTTCTTACTAATATAGCTGTGGGTGGCCCCTGAGTCTACTAGGGCCCCTACTCTACTTCTAAAAATCTCTGCATCTAATAAAATCAGCTGCCCTTCATTCTCCTTCTTCATCTTGGCCCAGGCGGGCCTCCTCTCCTTCAACTCTTCGGCTCCGCCTGTGAGGGAGGTGTTTAGAGAGACTCTAACACAAGCAGTCTCTGGGCAGGTATCTAGACACCGGCCTGCAACCTCTGCCATAGGCACATGTGGAGTGGGAGACTCTTGCCAGCTAGCGCTATATTCCCCACATGGCCTAGTGGTAGGGGCAGTTGCTACCCCTACCGACGGCTGCCTTTTGACCCTTGGGCAGCCGTTCGGGTCTCACGATACTTAGGACAGTATTTGATGATATGGCCCGGTTCACCGCAGAAAATGCACTGGCCCCGGTCCAATCGTTGTTGCCATAAAGTCTGGTCCAGACCCAAAGTTTCCCAAGGCCTACCCGGAGGTAGCCCTGGGTGCCATCCTCCTATAGGGGACCTATTCCTAGGACGGTTTTGCGGGGGACCTTGACCCCTGCCTCCCGCTTGGCGGTTTCCTGCTCTACCGCCAACCCCCTGATCGCCCTGGAAACGGCTCCCTGAGGCCCGGCCCCCTTGGCCCTGGCCTCGTCCTCCTCCTTGCGGCCTCCCTCCAGCCGCGACAGCAGCGTAAGTTCTCTCGTGGACCACACCGCTGTCATCCTCCTCTAACCCCCACTCAATCTGGTCGTAGGGGATCTCATCCACACTACCCTCGTCTAGAGTTAGGACAAGGTTATCCTTAGTCTTCACTTGCCCAAAGATAGTGCGGCCCTTCCATTGCTTTCCCTTATCCAAGTCTTTGTGCAAGAAGGTAGACACAGATGCAGACTTGGCTTCAAACGCCACCACTTCACGACTAAGAGAATCATACGTAGTGGCCGGATCTTCGCTCTTCGCGAGGAAGTGCCCTCGCAAGGCTTCGGGGATAGCCCGGTAGAAGAGGCCGACCAATTGGGTGTCTGTGACCCCATGGTCAGGAACAGCAATTAATTCATCCATCGTGCTCTTGAGTGCCCTGGCACTCTTCCACTTACGAGCGTGGATTGTCTGGAGCCTGTCTGAGGCCTTGACACTTCGAGCGACATCTGCAAATCGCTCGCGCAGCAATCTCATGAACTCAGTGAGGGAAGTAAATGCCGAATAGGCAACGGGATCGTCACTGCAGTTGGCAGCGCGAACAAGGGATCTTGCGAAACTGGCGGCCTCATCTCTAAGTGCGTGGATCGCAATTAGAACTTGCTGATCCGGGGAGACCTGTTGCAAATGCATGTAGGTCTTAACGTTGGCCTCCCAGTTATCAAAGTTCTCTTCCCTCTTCCCACTGTAGGAATCAGGGAATTTGACCTTGACTGGCTCTCTACGCGGCGGGCGTGGTTCCTCCTCCTTGGGAGCTGCCGCCTTGACGCCCTCAATGGCGCCAGCGCAAAATCGTTCAGTCTTCTCGAGGGGATGATTCACCTCGGATCCTATCGCGCCTACCAATTCGCGAGCAAAGTCCCGAAACCCCATTCGTATGGAGCGCACAACCATGTCCTGGCTTCGACTAAAATCGTACTGTTGTTCTTGTATCCGGGCTAAGCGCTCGACAGTCTGGGCAATGAGTTCTACCTTTTTCTCAAGGTCTACCTGAGGGGTCAACYTCASGGTTAGTTGCTKCATCTCCCCTAGGTCYTTRACCGCGTCARTCGCCGCGTCCAMTTTCYTCTTCTTTTCCCTCATCACTCTCAACTTCCACTCCATCCTTTTTTCATCCTCCATTGCATGCCGCCTCACAACATCCCTTTCTGCTTCCCACTCCTTCATAGCGGCTTCCTGCTCGTCCTTGGGGATATACATGGCTACCTCTTCTTCTTCTCCCAGGGAAAAGTTGGCGACCCACTCTGAGATCCGCTTCTCCATCTCATCATCTTTGCTGCCACTGTACTGCCCTCGCTGTTCTCTTCTCCTCTCCAGTGACTGATCATCTTCCTCCTCTTCTTCTTCCACCTCCTTCAGCTTCTGCTCTTCTTCCTTTTTCAATCTTTCCTTCTCCCTGGCCATCTCCTCCTCTATCTTTCTCAACTCTGCCGCCTGCTCCTCCTGCAGGGCCTTCTTCTTAGCCTCCTTCTTCTTCTTGGCCTCCTTCTCCTTCCTCTCTTGCAGGATGGCGGCCATCTTCGCCTCCTCCTCCTTTGTGTACGGCATAGTGGAGGTGTCGCGCCGGGTGTCTACCATGGTGGTGTCAGGTGCACGACAAAGGTCCCACTCCTCACCACTTGGACCTACCCGTACACTGACCTACTGACTGACTTTCTAAAAACCACTACTCAACTACTCTAAGGCTGTCACTACAGAACCAACAGCTGATCAGGAGGCATTTAAGGAGATCCCCCAAACTCCGCAAGAATTCTTTAACGCCGCAGACAGGATGACGTGATCAGCTTGGTTCTTCCTGGCGATTTCAGCCCACAACTCAGCCGTTCCAGCCTACTGTGCCACACCGAGCAGCCCGCCGGTCTGTACCGGTCCTTGGGGGGGTTCGTATCCCTCGGGACAGTCGAGTCGTCAGACACAGATCATCAGTTGTAGTAGGTCCGGTAGGGAAGTGGCTCAACCAGGCCTCAACACTTAAAGACGGCCTTCGTTTCAGCCTACAGCTCGGAGTTCAGACCCTCTATACTGAACTCAGTAGACCTGCCGGACAGTACCGGTCATTGGGCTAGACGAGTTGTTTAACGAGTGCTCGCCGCTCATGCCCAGGTCTGCAAGTGCCAACGTAGAGCTTTGGTCCTACTAAGCCCATGCAAGTTTGGCAGCAAAACCCTATCCTTCATCCACAGAGTCCTAACACCTAGGACAGAAGAGACTCAATGCAGAAAGGAAAGACAGACAGACTCAAACTCAGCAAGTACCGTAGGGTGAGTGCACATCCACAGGGTAAGGGGATAGGCTAAGGGCTCAGCGAAATCTTGGTCAGCAGCTCCAGTCAATGCCTTGGTCAACGCTGAGTCAACGCGGACAACCCCCAATCAACGCTTGGTCCACCACCTTGGTCAACGCCCGGTCAACCCTCTGGTCAACCCTTGGTCAACCCTCTGGTCAATGGTCTGGTCAACGCCCGATCAACTCCTCACCTCGGCTATGGCTGCCAGCACCTTCACCTTCGTCACCCTCGCCGTCTACTTCCCCTTCCTTCACTTTCTTTCTTCTTCTCTTTCGCTGTGTTTTTTTTGTTTTTTTTTTTTGTTCACCCCCGTCTATGTCTGTCTTCTTCTTCAATCTCCTCCTTCCACACTTTTTCTTCTCTCTCCTCAGCCCCTCCTTCTCTGTCCTCCCCTTTCTCTCTCCTCCGGTACTCTGTGTCAATGCTCCGCGGCT